TGTAAGCGGAATGGTGGTGACAGGTGGACACTGGTGATAGGTACGACTCATTGGTCGATGGGAGGGATGAATTCGGTTGGTGGCTAGAAGGAAGGGTCAGAAGGTGGAATGGAAGGGAGGAGGTGGAGCTGGAAAGGGAGCCAGGGGATGGGTGGGAAGGTTATTTGAAATTAGAGACCTTAATGTGAGTCCTCCAGGCTGTAGGGTGCCCAGGCAGAAAATAAGGCATTGGTCTTCAAATTTGCATTCCAACAGTAAGTAACCCTTATCCTTCTGAATAAACACTGACTCTATAGTTCCACAGCAAGTGACCCTTACCCTGAATAAATAGTGACCCTTAGTTAGACAGTGAATGATCATTACTGTGTTGAATGTGATGTTTGACAGTCTTAGATTTGAGTTTTGATGATGAAAGAAACAGATGTCAGGATAGTTTGATTATGCACTTTATTTGTTTACTCAGAGAAAGATATCTACAATTCTTCACTCAACTTTTAAAAGGCTTATATAGAATTGGATTATTAACAGGTTATCAGTTTTAGTCAAAATTAGAATCTCGCAATCTGAAGCTAAGTGTTTATATATGTTCTGCCCCATATAAATATTGTAGATTCTGTATGCATGAAATACAGTTAGTATAATCAAATACACTACTCAGAGATCGTATATATTGTGTATATACTACACATAAATTCTGTCTAAAGCACACATTCTGCCTCCACGTATCCCGCATACACGTCATGTACACAACTGCTTATACACTAAGTATAGTCTGTATATGTACTGTACTCAATGTGTCTTGATTATAAATTGCAGAATTTAATGAATCTTCAATACGTTAACAAATTTCAGTTTATTGTACATAAATATCAAAGTCCTCTAGTGATTCTATAGTAATTATTAATTCTAATTATTTATCCTAGGAATAAATACCGTAATAATTTCTGATCTAAACAATTTTAAGAGTTTTTACATAAAGTTTGATGATTGTGTGCAGGCTGACTGAGTGCTCATTGGTCCAGGGTCTGATGGGGATGCTGTCTTCTGGTGACTGTGCTTTATTTAGAGCCCATGCAAATTTATGGCTTAAGGAGGGGGCCACGTTTTATGAAGCCAGACGTAATTGTTATTCCCATGTAGTTGGGAGTTGCACGTGGGTACCCTATGGAATTCCCACTGTAGCAGATTCTGAAAGAATTACGCTGGAAATTGGAGATTCCGCTGGGTAATTCCCTGATGCAGGAACTGTTTGAAAGTATCCATTTAAATTAGAGAGTTCAAAGGGTTCCAATGAAAATAAGTAAATAATTACTCAGGAAAAGTTAGACTATTAAACATTTAGTGTTACTCCTAACTATTTATTCGACTTACCTCTTCAGACCCGTTACAATCCCAGTCTCTGACCTGACGCTCCACCCCACTTCGGACCTGACCTACTCAGGACCTGATCAATCTGTCAGACCAGATTTCTCCCACCCATCCCAAACCACTCTCAACACTGCATCACTGACAAAGGGCAAGGTGAACTTTACAGGTTATGATTTATTTGAGAAGGAGAGACCAGGTTGATGTGGTGACTTGCAGAAATCACACAGTCAATTAAATCTGTTTTTTTACAGTCAGATTAGCAGACCCATTCCCTCCGATCCTTGTCAATCACTTTGGGTTGCTGAGCTCCAATTCCTCATGCTCCATAAAACAAAACTGCACTCTGACAAAGCATACAAAACATTGAGCTCCCTTAATGAAAATGTACGGCTCAGTAATCAAACTTTAACACACATCTAATGCTAAATAAAACTATGTTCTCCACCACTTACTAAATCTACTAGTCTGCTGCCAACCACAAACAAGATTACAGAACTTTTGGGGATCAATGCATAAACCATAGCACACACATCATGACCAGCTGTGTGAATCATTAAAAACACAGTAAGCATAAGCTGACACTGAGTACTGGTAATCAGCGATATTTGACCCTAGGACATTGAAAATGTCCTTGATAAAGTAGCACATCATTGGCTTGTTAACAAGATTCTAGCCAGTAGCTTTAAAGAAATATTGGCAGCACAGACAAGAAACTGGCTAAAACTCAGAAAGTAGATAATTGCAGTGAGCGGGTGTTTCTTAGACTGGAAGCAAGTTGTTTTTTTATTTATTCACAGGATGTAGGCTAAGTATACTCTGGTGTTCCCCAGGGATGGGTGTTGGGATCACTGCTCTTTTTGATATATATTCATGGCCTGCACTTGGGAATACAGAGTATAATTTCATATTTTGCAGATAAAACAAAACTCAAGGTTCCCCATGGTAGGCTGATGGAGAAAGTGAAGTCGCATGGGGTCCAGGGTGTACTAGCTAGGTGCATAGAGAACTGGCTGGTCAACAGGAGACAGAGAGTCGTAGTGGAAGGGAGTTTCTCAAAATGGAGAACTGTGACCAGTGGTGTTCCACAGGGATCTGTGTTGGGACCACTGTTTGTGATATACATAAATGATCTGGAGGAAGGTATAGATGGTCTGATTAGCAAGTTTGCAGATGACACTAAGATTGGTGGAGTAGCAGATAGTGCAGGGGACTGTCGGAGAATGCAGCAGAATATAGATAGATTGGAGAGTTGGGCGGAGAAATGGCAGATGGAGTTCAATCCAGGCAAATGCGAGGTGATGCATTTTAGAAGATCCAATTCAAGAGCGAACTATACGGTAAATGGAAAAGCCCTGGGGAAAATTGATGCACAGAGAGATCTGGGTGTTCAGGTCCATTGTACCCTGAAGGTGGCAACGCAGGTGGATAGAGTGGTCAAGAAGGCATACGGCATGCTTTCATTCATCGGACGGGGTATTGAGTACAAGAGTTGGCAGGTCATTTTACAGTTGTATAGGACTTTAGTTTGACCACATTTGGAATACTGCGTACAGTCCTGGTCGCCACAATACCAAAAGGATGTGGATGCTTTGGACAGGGTGCAGAGGAGGTTCCCCGGTATGGAGGGCGCTAGCTATGAAGAGAGGTTGAGTAGATTAGGATTATTTACATTAGAAAGATGGAGGTTGAGGGGTGACCTGATTGAGGTCTACAAAATCACGAGAGGCATAGACAGGGTGGATAACAAGAAGCTTTTTCCCAGAGTGGGGGACTCAATTACTAGGGGTCACGATTTCAAGGTGAGAGGGGAAAAGTTTAAGGGAGATATGCTTGGAAAGTTCTTTACGCAGAGGGTGGTGGGTGCCTGGAACGCATTGCCAGCGGAGGTGGTAGAGGCGGGCACGATAGCATCATTTAAGATGTATCTAGACAGACACATGAATGAGCAGGGAGCAGAGGGATACAGATCCTTGGAAAATAGGCGACAGGTTTAGATAGAGGATCTGGATCGGCGCAGGCTTGGAGGGCTGAAGGGTCTGTTCCTGTGCTGTAATTTTCTTTGTTCTTTGTTCAATTGCAATGAACAATGAGGTGGCTAATAATAGAGTTCAGGAGGATACACTGTTAGGTAATGCAATATAGTACAGAAAAATGTTAAATGTTACACTTTGGTGGGAAGAATAATGAAAGGCAAAATAAACTAAATTGTATAAGTTTTACAGGACTGCAGAAATATGGAGAGACCTGCAAGTGTGTATTGAAATCTTTAAAGCAGAGTAGAATAACAAAGTAAAGCACCCAGTGCTACATCAATAGGGACATTAAGTACAAGAACAAGGAAGTCATGCTGAACCTTTATAAATCACTGATTAGGCCCCAGCTGGAGTCATGTCACATACTGAACACCCACTTCAGAAGGATGTATGGAACGAGTGCAGAAGAGATTTACTGAAACGGTACCAGGGATAAGGGTCTTCAGTGAATGTGAGAAGCTGAGATTGTTCTCTTTACAGCAGAGAACATTAAGAGAAGTTTTAATTAAAATGTTCAAAATTTTATAGAGTATTAAAAGAGTAAATTGATTGAATTCGATCAATAAACCTGGAATTGAGAGCCAGTCTCAGTGATGGTGATCACGAAGCTATCATTGATCATTATAAACTCTAATGTCCTTTAGGGAAGGAAATCTGCTGCCCATAACTGGTCTGATTTAAATGTAACTCCAGATCCACAGCAGTGTGATTGACTCTTAATTGCCCTCGAAAATGACCTAGAGACACAAAACAGTTCAAATGAAACTGGGGATAGGCAACAAATGCTGGCCTTGCCAGTGATGCTTACAACCCATGAAAAAACAAAGGAAACAAATAGGATAAACTGTTTAGTGGCACGAGTCAGTTACCAGAGGGACACATAGTGAAGGCTTACAAATAAAAAGTACTGGAGAAACTCAGCAGGTCTAGCAGCAACTGTAGAGAGAAAAAACAGTTAATGGCCTGAACTTTTGTAGAATTGGGATGATTCAATAAAATAGGTGGCAACCATTTAAGAATTATCAGACGTTCCCTGGTTCATTCTCCAGGTAATGCATCAACCTGCTTGGTTTATTACTCAATGAAAGCTTGACAGTTAACTGTCAGTCACCATTAGAAAACTTGGAAACTTGAAAATAGGAACAGTAGTAGGCCATTTGGCCCTTCAAACCCACTCCACCACTCAGTAGGGTCATGGTTGATCCTCTGTCCGATTGCACTCTCTTAGTCTCTCACTATGTCACTTGATACCTTTAGTGTCTAGAATTCTAACTATTTCTTTCTTAAATATATTCAGTGACATCACCACCACAGCTTTATGTGTTAGAGGATTCCACAAGACCACCACCCTCTTGAGTGAAGAAATTTCTTCTCATCTCAGTTGAAATAGCGACTGTGCCGCATTATTCTACAAACCCGGTCCCAAATTGGGGGGCAGGGGGACATCGTTCCTGTACCGAGTCTGTCCAGTCATGTAAGAATTTTTTGTGTTTCAATTAGAATGCCTCTATACTCCAGTAAATAAAGTCAATGCACTTTCTTCTCGTATGAACTACCACATAATGAATTAAGGTGGTGAACATTTGCTGAATTTCCTCTATAGCAAGTATATCTTTACTTTGGTAAAGAGACCAAAACAATGTAAAATACTACAGGTGTGGTCTCACCAAAGCCTGGTACAGCTGCAATAAGACTTACTTCCTTGCTCCTGTACTCTCATCCCCTTGCGATGAAAACCAGCATGGTATTTGCCTTCTTAACTACTTGCTACACCTACATTCTTGCTTTCGGTGATTTATGTACAAGGATACCCAAGTCCCTTTGTACATCAATATTTCCTAATATTATATATAATCTCTTATATTTATATAATCTTCTGACATTCAGTATTTCCTCCCGAAGTGAATTACTTTACACTTATCCACATTAAACTGCATCTGGCATATATTTGCCCACTCACTCAACTTATCCATGTTACCTTGAAGCCTTCTATTTTCCTCAAAAAGCAGTGGAAGCAGCCTTTGAACATTTTTAAGGCAGAGGATCCTTGACATGCAATGGGGTGAAAAGTTATTGAGGCTGGGGGGATTGTGAAATAACCAAATCAGCCATGAACATATTGAATATTGGAGCAGGTTTGTGGGACCAAATGACCTTGCTCTTAATCCCATTTCTTAAATTTGTGTAACATGTTTATTGGCTGTAATATGGAGAACTTTTTAAACATCAACAAATGACTTTTTTAGAAGCAGTTTTTACACATCCAACCTTCAATGCTTCTATATAGTGGGTGAATGGGCATTGAAGTGCCATAGCCTGGCACACGGTTATGAAAAGCCATGGGTTGTTTGAGGTATTGTATATTGGCATTAAGCAGCATATTGGGCTATGGGGGTGGGAAGGGGGCCTGAGCTGTGATAGGGAATACATGGAGAGGAAGAGCTGGAGAGGGAACATGAAGGCTTTTCTGTCATTATGGTGACTGAGACACAGCTCCAGAACAGTATGACAGGCCTTTTAAACAGCTGGCAGACCCTGCGGCTGCCCCTGAACTTTCTCCAAGAGCACACTGCCTGACTGCAACCATCATCTGCTCGCCAGCAATGAGAAATCCATCCTTATGGACACTTTAAATTCCCAGCTCCCACAAACCAACTTGAGGTTGAAATTCTGGCCCAAGATTTAGTGTCAAATGTGTGAGAAGGGTGTGGGATATATCAGTGTATGCCAGTGAGGGGTGTGGTGTATATCAGTGTTACAGAGAGGCATATTATTAGTGTTCCAGTGAGAGCTGTGGAATATATCAGTCTGTTCCAGTGAGGGGCATGGGCTATATTAGAGTGTTAAAGTGAAGGGTGTAGGGTACATTGGAGTGTTATAGTGAGGTGAGTGGGTTATATCAGTGCTACTGTGAGGGATTTCAGAGTGTTAGACTGAGAGATGTGGGATATATTAGAGTGTTATAGTGGCGGGGGTGGTGGGAGGCATATCACTATGTTACAGCGAAAGATGTGGGTCTTGCTGACTGGTTTGTTTTATTATGTTCAGTTTGTGTCCTCTTGAACAAAGTGTCTTCTGAAAATGAAATTGGGCCACTTGCTCACGTACTGAATGGGCAGTGTGAGCTCATTCAGTTATAAATGTGAAAGGAGATTTAGATAAACAGAAAAAGAATCTCAGGGTTATTGATACAAGCAAAAAAGCCATTGAAGAGTTAGTTGATTGGAAACCAAGAGTGAACTGTCACAGGGATAAGCTGCAGCTTTGGATTTGCACCTTCTGGACTTGGCGGTGAAATGCTGATTCACAGAAATACCTGAGAGGTCAGTGCTATTGCTGCTTAGATTCTGTGACCTCATCTGAGTGGTAAAACAGAAGTGAATGTAAAATAGGGTGATGGGAATGGGGATCAGTGATTGATGATGTTGAAGAGACTACTGAGAATGAGGAACAACAGACATTAAAGTGAAACAATTGATGCGCCGCTCTCAGGCCAGTTGTACGTTTCAAGACTTTTCCTCCTTCTCAGCAATTTTAGCTAAACCATGTCGCAAATCATTCAATTCATAAAGCTTGACGTCAAGGATATCCAGCAGCTTCCGTGCATCGCACTGAATCCTCTCTCGATCATTCACACAGTCAACCAGTGTCTGCTCCACATCCTGTAGCTGTTGCTCTAGATCAGCATTCCGATTCTCAACTTCCTGAGAAAAACCGTCAAAGATACAGTGAGATTCAGTAAGATGCTGTTCTGTCTGTCCAGACACACAGCCTGGCTCTACTTGCTGGTTATCAAGCTCTTGTAGGAAGTGAATTGGACAACGCATCAAACACACAACTCAGCCTACACTTCTGACTGTACCTGCAGTCTCAGCAGGGCCTCCTCCCGGTCACTTTCTAAATCAGTCACATCAGACTTTTGGCTTCTCAGCATCTGGATCTCCTGTGAGAAACAAAATAATCAGGCACAAAGAGTTTTTAGCATTGGGGAGATCACGTTACCAAGGGTAAGAGAGGCTCTTCCAGGTCTATGGGGCAGGGGGAGGGGTGGTGGAGCCGGAGGTAGCTGGGGCTGTGGGTTTGCTGAACAGACAACACAATGTCAAGGGACAGGGAAACTGGGCTCTGATGCTAAACTACTAAATTCAATAAATCTCTTACGATTCTTGCTGGATCATGTTTCTCTCTGTTGCTCAGCTCAGGACTCAAAACATGCAGGTAGCCTGAGCTCACCATAGATAAACGGAGTGTTTACACACACTGAGGGACAAAGCAAGGCTTCCTAAACAAGGCAGAATTTATAGAACTCAACCCAGCCTTTTGTTTCAACTGCTCTGGCCTAGTGTTTATGATCTGTACAGTTCAATTCAGAAAGGTGAGGTCATTGCCCTTAGTGTTTCAGTGATATCAGAGCGGTGAGACCATAAGACCATAAAGTATAGGAGTAGAATTAGGCCATTCAGCCCATCATGTCTGCTCTGCCATTCAATCATGGCTGACATGTTTCTCAACTGTATTCTCCTGCCTTCTCCCTGTAACCCTCGATCCACTCACTAATTAAGAACCTATCTATTTCTGTCTTAAATACACTCAATGACTTGGCCTCCACAGCCCTCTAGGGCAATGAGTTCCACAGATTCCCCACCCTCTGGCTGAAGAAATTTCCTCATCTCAGTTCTAAAGGATTGTCCCTTCACTCTGAGTCTGTGCTCTCTAGTCCTAGTATCTCCTACTACTGGAAATATCTTTTCCACATCCACTCTATCCAGGCCTCTCAGTATTCTGTTAATTTCAATGAGATTCCCCCCTCATCTTTCTTAACTCCATTGAGTACAGACCCAAAGTCCTCAACCACTCCTCATACGACAAAGCTCTCATTCCTGATATCATTCCTTAAACCTCTGCTGGAACCGCTCCAATACCAGCACATCCTTCCTTAGATATGGTGCCCAAACAGCTCACAATACTCCAAATGTAGACCAACCAGAGTCTTTTGCAGCCTCAGCACTATATCGCTGTCTTGTATTCTAGCTATCTTGATTTGCAAACATTGTATTTGCCTTGTTGCCAACTGAACCTGCATGTTAATCTTAACAGAATCCTGAACCTGGACACCAAAGTCCCTTTGTGCTGCAGATTTCTGAAGCCTTTCCCCATTTCAAAAATAATCTAGGCCAATGTTCTTTCTAGCAAAGTGCATAACCACACACTTTCCCACATTGTATTCCATTTGCCACTTCTTTGCCCCCCTCTAGCCTCTCCAAGTCCTTCTGCAGCCTCCCCGCTTCCTCAATACTACCTGTCCCTCCATCTATTTTTGTGTCATCTGCAATTTATCAACAATGCCTCAGTTCCTTTGTGCAGATTGTTAATATACAATGTGAATAGTGGTGATCCCAGCATGGACTCCTGTGGAGGTTATTGCCCTCAATGTTTCAGTGATGTCAGAGATGTGAGATTACCTCCTCCTTTTCCTTTAACAGCGTCTCAAGTTCTTCCACTGATTGGCTGAGGTCAGTGTTTTGAGTTGCAACTGTTACAACCGCCTCGCCTTGTGACTCAAGCTCAATAACCTGCAATCGGTGTGGGGGTAGGAGAGGGGGAAGAGGGGAAGTGGAGGGGACAGGATTAAGAGTGGTGGTGGGTAGGAAAGGGAGGAAGGAAAAAGGAAAAGGTATATGTGGGGTAGGAGGTGGAGGATAGAAAGGGTAGGAGATGGGAAGTTGAGGGGAGAAACCAAGAGAAACAATTAGCCACCAGCAGAAAAGCACTTCTTTCACAGTGCAGGAGGAGTTTGTGGGGATGGGGGTGCTCTATCTAGGCCCTGTCAACAACAGGGATCTGGGACAGAGTTCAGGGATGGATGGTGGGGAGGGCTGACCTGGGAGATGGGGAGTGACAGAGGATTGAGGTGGGTCTGCTTGGTCCTGTTGAGGGTCTTAGGATGGCCTGAGTCCTGGACTCCTCTAGCTTTGGGTTCTAGTGTCCATCTCCCACTGACAGCAGCAAAGGGATGTCACTGACTCAGTAACATTTTTCTTCAGCCTGAGAGAGATGACCTGGCTCCTGTTATGCAAAGAGATGTCAGTTTGGGGCAGGCACCAAGCTAGCACAGAATGGGTAAATGAAGGGGGACAGGAGTTCTATTTCATCCCCCATCTCCACAGACCCAGAGGCTTCCTCACTGTAAGACTCTCACCCGGTCTCGCAGTTTTTCTGTCTCCTCTTTATAAGCTGACAGCTGTTTTTTCCATTGCTCAACGGTGACATTTGATTCGTGCAGTGCCTGAACCAGCTTCGCGTTGCTCTCCTGCAGTGCAAACAGCTCCAACTCCCACTGTGACTCCCCAATAGAGCTGGAGATGGAGAGAGATAGAGTATCAGTACTATCAAAATGGTGAGATTATTGATGGGAGGAGGTGGGGGGAGTGAGATTTCAATACAAAGTGTGATCTGCAGACTACATTTAGCACCTGACCCTCCGGAGGTTATTTTAACCTCTCCCTCAGGCCAGCAAACAGCCCAAGATCAATAACCATTTCACAGTCAAGTCAGACAACTCTAAAATCAGCATTCCCACCCCATCCAGGGCATTGGCAGTTCTACACCAGTTAGGTGCTTATTTTGACCAGCACAGAGTAAATGGGTTAAAGGGCTTTTTTTGTGCTGTAGACTTATTTGATAACTGGAGTACTGGACATAGTTTGGTCACCTTACTTAAGGAGGAACATAACTGCATTAGAAATGTGGAGCGGCACGATGGCTTAGTGGTTAGCGCTGTTGCCTCACAGTGCTATGGTCCCAGGTTTGATTCCAGTGTCGGATGACTGTCTGTGTGGAATCCTGTGCCTGTGTGGGTTTCCTCCAGGTGCTCCAGTTTCCTCCCATAGTCCAAAGATGTGCAGGCTAGGTGGGTTAGCCATGTGAAATGCAGGGTTACAGGGTAGCAGCGAGGAGGGGAGTGTGCAGACTAGGTGGGTTAGCCGTGTGAAATGCAGGGTTGCCAGGTAGCAGCAGGGAGGGGGGTTGAGCAGGCTGGGTGGGTTAGCGATGTGAAATGAAGGGTTACAGGGCAGTAGTGGGGAGGGGGATGCTCTCTGGAGGATCAATGTGGACTTGATGAGCTGAATGGCTTGCTCCCACACTGTAGGGATTCTATGAAACAGTTCAAAAGAAGGTTCACAGGCTGATTCCTGAAGTGAAGGGGTTTACGTTATGAGGAAAGGTTGAGCAGTTTGGGTCTGTATTCATTGGAGCTTAGAAGAATGAGAAAAATGATTTTGTTAAAACATAAGATCCAGGTGTGGCTGGGCAGGAGAGATGCTAAGTGTATGTTTCCATCATGAGGAAATCAGGAACTAGATGATGGAGTTTCAAAATATATAAAAACATAGAAAATAAGAGGAGTCCTTCGAGACTGCTCTGCCATTCAATATGACCTTCCAACTCAGTACCTTATTCTTGCTTTCACCCCATGCCCTTTGAATTCTTTAGCCATAAGTATTATATCTAACTGCTTCTTGAAAACATTCAATGTTTTGGGCTCAATCGCTTTCTGTGGCAGAGAGTTCCATAGGCTCCCCACTCTCGGGGTGAAGAAATTTCTCATCTCAGTCTAAAATGGCCCGCCTGTATCCTTAGACTGTGACTCCTGGTTCTGGACTCCCTGGTCTTGGAGAATAGCCTTCTGTGTTTACCTTGTCTAGCTCTGTTATAATTTAATAGATTTGTGTGAGATATTCCTCATTCTTCTATACTCCAGTGAATATATTCCCAACTGACTTAGTCTCTCTTCATATGTCAGTCTTGCCATCTGAGGAATCAGTCTAATAAACCTTCACTGCACTGCCTCCATCGCCAGAACATCCATCCTCAGATAAAGAGACTAAAACTGCATACAGTACTTCAGGTGTGGTCTCACCAAGGCCTTGTAGTATTGCAGCAAGACATCACTGCTCCTGTACTTGAATCTTCTTGCTATGAAGGCCAACTTACCATTTGTGTTCTTCACCCCTGCTGCACCAGCATGCTTACTTTCATTTACTGGTGTACAAGGACACCCAGGTCTCACTGCACCTCCCCCTTTCCCAATCTATTAGCATTCAGATAATCTGCCTTCCAGTTTTGCTATCAAAGTAAATAAGCTCACATTTATCCACATTATACTTCATCTGCCATGCATTTGCACACTCACTCAACTTGTCCAAGTAAATTGGGGGAAGGCTGACGACCATAATATTTGGCAGGGACTAGGGAATGTTGACTGGAGGCAGCTGTTTGAAGGTTCATCCACATCTGGAATGTGGGAATCTTTTAAAGGCCAGTTAATTAGAGTTCAGGACCAGCATGTTCCTGTGAAAATGAAGGATAAGGATGGCAAGATTCGGGAACCTTAGATGAAAAGAGAAATCGCCAGCACAGTCAAAAAGAAAAAGGAGGGATGTGTAATGAAACTGAAGGGAGACAGAACCCTCGAAAAATACCAAGAGAGCAGAGAAGAACTCAAACAAAGAATTAGCCAGGCTAAAGGGGGCTATGGAATGTCTTTGGCAAACAGGATTAAGAAAAATCCAAACACGTTTTATACGTATGTAATGAGCAAGACAGTAACGAGGGAAAGAATATATCGACTCAAGGACAAAGGAGGGAATTTATCCGTGCAGCCAGAGGAAGTGGATGGGGTTCTTAATGAATACTTTGCACAAGTATCCACAAAGGGGAAGGACATGGACAACGGGGAGTCTCAGCAGGTGTACTTTGATATTCTGGAACATGTCAATATAAATAACGTGGTGTTGGGTGTTTTAAAAAAGCACTAAGGTAAATGTAGTGATTGGAACAGGTAGACCTCGTTAACTATGAGATTGTTGATTGGGGTTGTTAACCTGGGCCAATCAGGAAAGTCTTGGCTGACCAATATAACCAGGAGATTAGCATCTCCTCAGTTGAAGACTGACTCTGAGCTTACTGCGTATGTAAAGGGTGATGGGAAATTGGCCTCTGTGCAGTTATTTCAGTAGACAAGTCCCTAAGACCTAATGGGATCTATCCCAGTGTACTGAAGGAGGCAGGTGAGGAAATTGTTGGGATCTTGTATGAAATCTTTATATCCTGGTTAGTCACAGGAGAGGTCGCAGAGGACTGGAGAATAGCCAACATTGTTTCTTTGTTTCAGAAAGGCAACAGGGATGATCTGGGAAATTACAGGCTGGCGGGCCTTACGTCAGTGGTAGGGAAATTATTGGAGAAGATTCTTAAGGATAGAATTTACTCACTTCTGGAAGAATACAGGCCTACATTTGTCAAATAAGGAAACTGCTTGCTTAAACTGGATAAGACTTGAAATGAGGAGGAATTTCTTCTTTCAGCGGGTTGTTAATATATGGAATTGTCTCACTGGAGAACAGTGGAAGCTGGTTCATTAAATATACTGACTTGTCCAGTTTGAGAGATTTTGCATTGAAAAGGCAGGGAATCAATGGTTATGGGAGGCCACAGTCAGATTTGCCCTAATTGTATTGAATGGTGGCTCACGAGGCCAATTATTCCCCTCCAAGCCGGGCCCTCTCCTGACTTGGAACGATGTTGCCGCTGTTCCTTCACGGTCTCTGGGTAAAAATGCTGGAACTCTTTTTCGAACAGGACTGAGGGTGTTCCTATTCCCCAAGGACTGCAATGGTTCGGAGAGGTGGCTAATAGCTGGGCATTAAACACCAGCCTTGCCTACGATGCTCTCATCCTATCATTAAATAAAAAAAAATTGAACCATCATAGAGTCACAGAGTTGTACAGCATGGAAACAGACCTTTCAGTTCAACTGATCCATACCGACCAGATATCCTAAACTAATCTAGACTCATTTGCCAGTACTTGGCCTATATCTCTCTAAATCCTTCCTATTCATGTAACCATCCAGATGCCTTTTAAATGTTGTAATTGTACCCATCTCCACCACTTCATTCCATACATAGGAGTGATAGTCACACATGCCTCACCCTCTGTGTGAAAATGTTGCCCCTTCGGTCCCTGTTATATCTTTCCCCTTTTGCCTTAAACCTATGCCTTCTAGTTTAGGAGGACACCCGGACTCTTATGGAGCAGTGAGTCACTGGCATCAGACTTGGGATACAAAATTGATTGACTGTCCTGAATCATATGACATAAGAACTTCGAGAGTAGCTTATTTAGCTTCAGGTAGAAATGGAACCTGGGCCTTTTCTTGTACCGGCAACCTTGGTGCTATGATGTTGTGTGATGCATATTCATAATCAGTATCTCCCATTTTCCTGATTATTACAGTGAGTGTTAGGCGAGAGGAAAATTTAAAATATTTCAGAATTACCCAACATTTCCATCAGTACTGATGACATAATTGAGGAGAGGTTGTTACCATTTCCTGTCTGTATATTAACTGATGGATGTGCAATTACACACTGTTGGGAAGACAGACTAAGACAGTGGATTCCAGTGGGTACCATTTCTGCAACTGGTGACTTACCCCTGGGCGAAGAGAGTCTTAAGACGAGCACTGTCCAGCATCATCTCCCCATCACAGCTCTCTGAGTGGTACAGTTTTGGACCACTGCTCCCATTCGCACTGGCTGGTTGCAATGGAGGTGAATGAAGATCTCCTGACAATTCCTAAAGCAGAGTGGACATTTAACAAATCGATCCTCACCACCATAGACAAATACTAAAATAGGGCAGGAGAGAAGGGAGACCAACCATAGCACAGGTCAACATTCCAGGAATACAGGAATCTTAACATGAAAACACAAGCTGATGTATAAGCCATGTGAGCAAATATTTTAGGAAAATGAGCATAAAACACATAGAGTTGAGAGAAAAACAAGTAGGGATGAGAGACAGAATTAGGAAGAGGATAAAGAGACAGAAGGCAAGACAGAAAACAGGAGGAGAACAGGGAGACAAGGTTAGGGCCACAGAGAAAGAAACTCTTATTGGAGTTTAGAAGAGATCCAAAGAAAATGCATAGAGAAACAGAGGCAATGAGAAATAAACAACAAGACATCAGTTTTAGGACAAACAGCTAGCCATTTAAGGTTCAGATGAGGAGAAATGTCTTTAGTCAAGAGGGTTGTGCATGTTTGGATTTCTTTACCCCAGGGGTTTGTAGATGTTAAGTTGTTGAATATATTCAAGTCTGAGGTCATCCATTGATATCATGTGGAGTGAATTGAATTGGCTGAAGACTGGTATCTGTGATACTGGGGACCACTGGAGGAGGCTGAGATGGATCATCTGCTCAATTCTGGCTGAAGATTGTTGTAAATGCTTCAGCCTTATTCTTTGCACTGATGTACTGAGCTCTTCCATCATTGAGGATGGGGATATTTGTGGAGCCTCCTCCTCCAGTGAGTTGTTTGATTGTCCATTCACGACTGGATGTGGCGGGACAGCAGACCTTAGATCTGATCCGTTGGTTGTGGGATTGCTTAGCTTTATCTATCACTTGCTGCTATGCTGTTTGGCAATGCGAGTAGTTCTGTTTGGTAGCTTCACCAGGTTGACATATCATTTTTTAAGCACACCCTCCTGCACTCTCCATTGAACCAGGTCTGACGCCCTGGCTTGATGGCTGTGGGAGAGCAGGTGATTCACCAGGCCTTAAGGTTGCATTGGAGTACAATCCTGGTGCTGATGGCCCACAGTGCCTCATGGACACCCAGGCTTGAGGAGTTCGATGTCTGTCCCATTTAGCACAGTGATATTGCCACACAACTTGATGTAAGGTGGTATCAGTGGGTCCTGCATGGATTGTGCAGCAGTCATTCTTGTTGATACTGTCATGGACAGATGTATCTACGACTGGCAATTTGGTGAGGATGAGGTCAAGTGAGTCTTTCCCTCTTGTTGGCTCCCTCACCACCTGGTGCAGACCCAGTCTAGCAGCTATGTCCTTTAGGACTTAACAGCTTCAGCAGTAGTGCTGCTACCAAGGCAGTGGTGATGGATAGTTAATCCACCACCGTCTCAAATGCCAACTAGGGTAAGGCAATAAATACTGGCCCAGCCAGTAATACCCACGTCCCATGAATGAATATAAAGTGAGTGATCAAGAGATTGTTAGAGACAGAGTGAGTCAGAGTATGTTTGTGTATTAGAGATAGTGTTTAAGACTATGAGAAAGAGTGTGATCTTACTAGAGTAAGGGAGAGAACATTAACTCAGAGACTGCAAGGGCTAGAGTCTGAGCATATTAAGAGTGCAGGAGAGTTGAGGGTGGAAACATGCATTAGAGTCCGAGATAAAGTAAAATAGTGTGAGGAGTGACGGGGTGTGGGGCAAAGAGTGAGAGAGAAACGGCAACAGACTATGAGTAACAGTGAGAAAGGAATGTGACTTAAAGTAAGACAGATGGATTGTACTCAGTCAGAGCCATAAGTATTTCAGTAGCAGCACTTCCCTCCTCACCCAGCACCATTTCATTCACATAGGAAGTTCAGTGAGCACATCTGCGTGCAGTGACAGGGAAAGGCAGTGACAAAAAGAGGCTGAGAGAAAGAGACAAGGAGGTGGGGAAACTGCGGGGTTTGGAGTTGGTGGGGGGGCGGGGAGGGCGGAGTCACTTTGAGCTCCACATGTTGCATCAGGAAATATTCTGATAAATATTTTTCTTTCTGTGTCGAGATGCTGTATTGCAAAGTTGCACCAAGTCCTTGTGGAATAGGTTTTACCCAGGGGATGGCTGGGCTCGGATGCTGCAGCTGCTGGTTCCTCACTCCTGACTCCCTAATCCTGATAGCTGGTCTGGACAGGGAGGATTATTCCAGGGAGGATTATCTGATCCTCTTACAGAGCTCTACATTAACACAATCACATAACCTGACAGGCAAGTATAATGGGACACACATTCCTGCAGGGAGCTATTATTTTCCACACATTCTTCCCTTTCCAATCTTTCATGACCTTGTTAATAGATCAAAAAGAACTTGCCACAGGTAGGAAAAAAGAGCAGTCTTTGAGACCCTGCTCATAATTCATTCAGTGGTGTCAATAACTGATTGATTCTGGTAGGTTTACTGAGGACAGCAGAGACAGAGATCTACCTGGTATCCAATCCCATGCTGTAGCTGTCCTGGGAGAGTTTGATGGGGATAGTGTCAAGGGAGCTTTACTTTCAGTTCAAAAGAGTACAGAATTGTTTATTCTATATCTAAACCCATGCCTTCACTGTCCTGGGAGTGCTTGATGGGGACAGTGTAGAAAGAGCATTCCTATCTGTTTAAAAGAGTGGAGAGGGCTCAAATTTTAGTTTAAAGGGGTAGAGGCAAGTTTACTTTCAATTTACTTAGACAAAGCTTTACTCTATCAAAACCCATTCTGTCCGTGTCCTGGGAGTGTTTGATGGGGCAAGTGTGGAGAGAGCTTTTCACTGTATCGAAATAACTACTCCCAATGTTCTGAATTTGCTGGCTCAGGATTCTGGTAGATATGATGCACTTTATTTTACTCAGTGTCTAGGGTAAAAGATCAGATTATTTTTGGGTCCTGTCCTATATAGCTGACTAGAGTGAGATGAATGAATTGTGGTACTGAGGTTTATTGCAGCAACTGATCCACGTGAATGAGTCTCTGACCCATTAAATATCCAGCTTAACTGCACTTCTATTCTTTTTCATCGTGTTAAAGCACAGAAACAGGAGCAGCAAGGATTCCAATCCTGCCAGATCCCCATGATCTCACTGCCTGACCCAATCTCAGTCCCAGTTTGGTTACTGTCATTTGGCATTCTTGCTGTGAGATTTGAGTTGGTCACTCTTGGTCAGAGTAGTTCAGTCCCCTTCCTCAGTCACTCTCCCTCCTCTGCCTCTCACCTATCTTCCCCTTGTTGCCCCCTCCCTACCTTACTCTCTACTACTTGGTCACTCTTGTCTCTCTCAGCCTCTTTATTTTGGTCATTCTCAAAGTCTTTCAATTGGTCAGCCATATCACTCATTCGGTCACAGCTTTGTACTCTCAATGAGAATTGGATACAGCTAGGGGTCAGAATGCAAAATGTAGCCAGATATGTACTGTTGAGGCTGCATAGGTTCTGGTCAGACCGCATTTGGATGTACTGAAGTTGGTGGGGGTCCAGAGGAGGTTTACAAGAATGATCCCAGGGTTGAAGGGTTTGTCATGAGGAGCAGTTGAGGACTCTGGTTTTGTACTCAATGGAGGTTTAGAAGAATGAGGAGGAATCTCATTGAAACTTACAGAATACTGAGAGGCCTGGATATAAGGATGTGGAGAAGATGTTTTCACCAGAAGGAGCGACTAGGACCTGACGGCACAACCTCAGAGTGGAGGAATGACTCTTTAGAATTGAGATGAGGAGGAGTTTCTTCAGCCAGAGAGTAGTGAATCTGTGGAAATTATTGCTGCAGAGGGCTGTAGAGGCCAAGTTATTGAGTATCTTCAAGACAGAATTAGATTCTTAATTAGTAAGGGGATCAAGGGTCACAGGGAGAAGGTAGGATAATGGGATTGAGAAATATATCAGCCATGATGGAATGGTGGAACAGACTTGATGGGCCAAAGGGCCTTATTCTGCTCCTGTGTGTTATGATCTTATGTTGCTGCTGAAACTAGTTTGATGAGAAATCACCAACAGATGCAGTGGTATTGAATATGACAGAAGGGACATTAACTCTGTGTATCGTAGAGAATAGGCACTGAATTCCACAGATTCACCACCCTCTGGCTGTAGGAATTCCTCCTCATCTCAGTTCTAAAAGGTTGTACCTTCACTCTGAGGTTTGTCCCTCAGGTCCTAGTATCTCCTACCAGTGAAAACACCTTCTCAACATCCACTCTATCTAGGCCCCTCACTATTCTGTAAGCTTCAATGAGATTCCACCCCCCATCCTCCTAAACTTCATGAGTATGGTCCCAGAGTCCTTAACCGCTTCTAATATGACAAGCCCTTCAGCCCGGGCATCCTATGGAGGCATCTGATGGGACAAGGGCTTAGTGGTTTAGAGGACAGGTGGGTAGGACCTAAGGTGGTTCGCCCCAAAGCACACAGTGCACTCCACGAAGGATGTCCAGCCTGCCTTTTAACTGCTGATATTTAGAAAACAGCCTGCCCATGCCCAACCCCGTTATTCAAGTCAATTGGCTTGGTAACAAGTTCAATCGCCAGTTATTTATTAAAAAGTGGGCAGACCGCCAATTTTGCCATCTGCCCAAGTACCTTATTATGGGGAAAGCTGGGGTCAGTGGGAAAGCATGGATTTGGCATCATGCACACCCTGGAAGAGGATTTACAGACACTGGAGTGGGATTTAAGGCGTAATTTTTATACGATGATGGTACTAGAACTCTCTTCAGTTTCCCAGTTAATTGTCATTACCTGTGGAGCTGCAATATCCAGTGCTGGGTTTGTTAATTCAGTTTTATCCTGGGATTTCTCTCTTGTTAATCGTGCAGCTTCTTTAACCTCTTGAAACCTTTCTGCAAACTTTAACAGAACAGAAACATCAGAAATCTCTTCATTCTACAAACGCTTGGCTTTAATCTTCTGATTTTGCTGCCTTGTTCTGTACAACACCACAATGCCATTCTAACTAATTCATTGGCATTGAGACACACTGGGACATCCTGAAGATGTGAAAATGGTGAGAAAAATATAAGATCTTCATTGACATGGCACCTATTATATAATCTGCTACTCCTTTTTCTGTTCAAATCCTTGACACTGTGGAATTTTTGATGCTGCCAATAATCACTAGCGTTAGAATCGTTATATCAGATCATATCACTTACTTAACACCAAACTCAGTTTTCCAAGTTCTTATTGTGCAATCCTCTTCCTGATCTGTTCACCTTTCACCTGTCCCTATTTCACACCAACCCATTGGCATTGCTCACAATCTTTTAATCTCTGCATCTTTTGCACGCCCTACATCCTGCATACATTCAGTCGCCATCTATCTCTGGCTGGTCTCATCCTGGCCTGACCTGCTGCCCTCTTATAGAGTGATAGAGTGGCACAGCATGGAAACAGACCGTTCAGTCCACTCATGCCAACCAGATATCCTAAATTAATCTAGTCCCATTTGACAACACTTGCCCCATATCCCTCTAAATTCTTACTATTCATGTACCCATCCAGCTGCCTTTTAAATGTTGTAATTATACCAGCCTCCACCACTTCCTCTGGCAGATCATTCCATATACGCACCACCCTCTGTGTGAAAATGTTGCCTCTTAGGTTCCTTTTAAATCTTTCCCCTCTCACCTTAAACCTATGCCCACGGGTTCTGGACTCCCCTACCCTGGGGGAAAAGACCATGACTAATCACCCTATCCATGCCCCTCATGATTTTATAAACCTCATAAGGTCATCCTACAGCCTCTGACATTTCAGGGAAAACAGCCCCAGCCTATTCAACTTCTCCCGAGAGTTTAAACCCCCCAACCCTGACAACATCCTTGTAAATCTTTTCTGAACCCTTTCAAGTTTCACAACATCTTTCCTATAGCAGGGAGACCAGAACTGCACACAGTATTCCAAAAGTGGCCTAACCAATGTCCTGTATAGCTGCAACACGACCTCCCAACTCCTACAATCAATGCACTGACCAATAAAGGCAAGCATACCAAACACCTTCTTCACTACCCCTCTATCTGCAACTCCACTTTCAAGGAACTATGAACCTGCACTCCAAGGTCTCTTTGTTTGGCAACACCCTCACGACCTTATCATTAAGTGTATAACTGCTGCCCTGATTTGCCTTTCCAAAATGGAGCACCTCACATTTATCTCTCAACCCTTAGTCTAGGATGCTTTGCTTCATTTCTGCACTGTTGAATATAAATTGCTGCTGTCTTCACTTCTTGTGGGGAATCAGACCCCTGACTCTTTACTCTGATTACTTGCTTAAGATAATCACAGAAGTATAATTGGGGTCTGCCCGGCCAGGTACCTGTGAAAGCTGCTGCTCTGAGTTGAAGCCCAGACCGTAAACGGTGTTGGCACGGCTATCAGCCCATTGGCCAAATTTTTGTGAGGTTTTGGTGAATGACATGTTAGGGGTGATGGTGCTGTTGATAATTGCCTGAAATCAAAAGAATTCATTAAATTAGGATGACAGCAAATAAATTCCAGACTAATTCCGATCTTCCTCCTGAGGTTCAGTTGGGTAGAAATAATGGTGAGGTTGGGTTTGATGATGGTGCTGATGAGGAGTGACCACAGAGAGGCGGCGAGTAACTGTGGTGTGGAAGTGGACGATTTGATTGTGGACGATGAGTGTCAGAGTTATAGAGAGCTACAACAGAGGAAAAAATACCTTTGGCTCATTGAGTCTGCGCTAGTCAAAAATCTGTGCCTCTTCTCATCCCATTTTCTTGTACTTGGCCCATTGCCTTGTTTGCCTTGGCGTTGCAAACATACATTTGACCAGAACGTCTATACTTTTTTTTATGGGATGAGGTTGTCACTGGCTGCGCCAGCATTTCTTAACCATTCCAAGTTACCCTTGAGAAGGTGGTGGTGAGCTGCCTTCTTGATCCACTGCAGTCCACCTGGTGTAGGTTGACCCACAAAGCCATTACGGAAGGAATTCCATGATTTTGACCTAAAGATACTGAAGGGACAGCAATATATTTCCAAGTCAGGATGGTGAGTGTCTTGGAGGGGAACTTGCAGGGGGTGGCATTCCCTTTTATATGCTGCCCTTGACCTTCTGGATGGAAGTGGTCATGGGTTTGGAAGGTGCTGTCTGAGGATCTTTGGTGAATTTCTGCAGTGCATCTTGTAGATAGTACACACTGCTGCTACTGAGCATCAGTGGTGGAGGGACTGTGTGTTTGTGGACGTAATGCCAGTCAAGTGGGGCTGCTTTGTCCTGGATGGTGTTAAGCTTCTCAAGTGTTCTTGGGGCTGCACTCTTCCAGGCAAGTGGAAGTATTCCATCACTCTCCCATAATCTAAGGCTATCCCCCTCCCTATTTAAACCCTACCAATTTTTGTATCATCTATGCACTTATTGGTCAACTCTCTTATGTTCAAGTCTAAATCATTTACAAATACCAAAAACAGCAAGGGGCCCAACACTAATCCCTGTGGGACCCCACTGAACACAGGTTTTCAGTTACAAGAACACCCTCAACTAGCACCCTTTGCTTCCCGCCATTCAGCCGATTTTGGATCCAATTTGCCAATTTTCCTGGGATCCCATGAGCTCTTACCTTCACTTTCAGTCTCGCTTGCAGGACTTCATCGGCCTTGCTGAAGTCCCACTAGGCTATGTCAAAAGCATTGCTCTTATCGACACATCTGGTCACCCCTTCAAAAAAATTAAATCAAGTTGGTCAGACATGACCTGCCTTGAATAAAACCATGCTGATTTCTTGATTAATCCCTGCCTCTCCAAATGCAGATTAATTCTGTCTCTCAGAATTACTCAATAAGACAAGACATAACAGCAGAATGTGGCAATTCAGCCCATTGTCTCTGCAGTGCCATTCAATCATAGCTGATATGTTTAGCAACCCCATTCTCTTATGTTCTCCCCTTAACTCTTGATTCCCTTACCAATCAAGAACCTACCTATCTCTGTCTTAAATACACTCAATGAGTTCCACAGATTCATCACCCTCTAGCTGAAGAAATTATTCTTCATCTCAGTTCTAAAAGGAAATCCCTGACTCCAATAATTCTTGAAAGATCACTACCCGATGCCTCAACAAGGTCAAAAATCACATGACACCAGGTTATAGTCCAACAGGTTTATTTGAACATGCAGGTTTTTGGAGCATTGCCCCTTCCTCAGGTGTAATGACAGAGGAAGTATCAAGAGACAGAATTTATAAGTAAAAGACCAAAGGATTATACAACTGATGTGAACATGTTTAATAACCCTAAAATGGCTGGCTGACTCCCTCCTGTTAAATCTCTAATCAGTTAGAAAGGAGATACAGGTTTCGATTGATCAATTTGCAACATCATGATTGATGACGATGAGCACCTCGCCAAGACTTTCCCCATGCCACCACTTTTCACCTTCAAACAAGTGCCAAATCTTTAACAGACCATTGTTTGCAGCAAACTACCCAGCCTTCAGGACAACATCGACCACAACACCACACAACCCCATCATGGCAACCTCTGCAAAACACATGTGAACACCACCCACCACGTGCACAGCAGATACTCCTGTGACTCAGCCAACGTTGTCTATCTCATACGCTACAGGCAAGGATGCCCCGAGGCATGGTACATGGGTGAAATGATAACAGATGATATCATCTGTTGATAATGATATCATATCATATGATAACTATGATAACAGATGAATGGACACTGTGCATCAATTGCAGGACAGGGATGCTCCCTCACAGTAGGGAACACTTCAGCGGTCAAGGACATTCGGCTTCAGATTTTCAGGTAAATGTCCTCCAAGGCAGACTTTGGGATACACAACAACGCAGAGGCTGATGGCCAAGTTTGGTACCCATGACGACAGCCTCAACCAGGATCTTGGGTTCGTGTCGCACTACAGGTGACCCCACCACACCATACACACTCACACATACGTAAACGCGCATGCCCCCTCTCACACTCACGCAAATGCGCACGCCCCATCTCTCACACACAAACAAACGCGCATGCCCCCTCTCACACACGCAAACATGCATGCCCCCTCTCTCACACACACGCAAATGCGCACGCCCCCCCTCCCTCTCACACACACGCAAACA